GGGTCCACTTTGAGGCACAGTTTTGATAATCCGAACCGTTTATATTTTTAGATTTATTCAGTATATCATACCTGTAAAAAATCAAGTTGATCGAATATCATAAAGTATGTGTTCGGAAAACTGTTTATTAAAAAATAGGAGGGAATGAAGGAGGGGGCTCAAGGAGGGGATCTGGACTCCTCAACGTGCACTCTCCTCGCAATAATACAATAAAATACACACGCAGAGAGAGAGAGAGAGAGAGAGAGAGAGAGAGAGAGAGAGACTGTACTGTGTGTGTCTGTAATTGTATGAGTGATTTCGAGAGAGAGCACATTGAAAGCGGTGTGCCCCTCTCTCTGCCTGTGAACTTGCTCGTTCCCTTTTTTCTGAAAAATAATTTGGGTGTTCAAAGTTGATGACCACCCTCTTTCTCTGACAACTACCATTGCTGTCCTCCATTCCATTCCATGCCCACCACCCATCCAAATTATATTTCTTTTAAAAAAAGTCCACTGACCTCTATAAGTTACAAACAAAATTTATGAATAGAAATCTGTTAGAATAATTACTGACAAATTACAAATTTTTACAGAATTTTTTTAAAAAAATTACGTATATATATATATATATTATTCCAAAATTTTTTAATAGAATTGGATTGTATGTATTTAACAGTGGGAAAATGCATGAGACCCCTAGTGGGGGTGCTGGGGTCTCTTGTGATTGGTTTAAAAAAAAATTTTTTTTTTTTTTTTTGCTTTCAGCCAATGGCAGAGCCCATGTGGCACTGGAGGTCCCAGCAAAGTCTTTAACCGTGCATCTTTTTTTTTTATTAAATTTGAATAAAAATTTCTTTGATATCAAATGTTTTAACGGAAGGTTTTAAGGCTTTATCAAACCAACGGTTGACTGGATGGATGATCGGCTAGTGTAATTTTTTTACAAATTTTTGTGTTGAGGTGGTCATCTAGAGACAATTTGGTGGTGAAAATCCAACGACAATGAATAGTGATTTGATAAAAGGCACACTTGTCCTCCATTTGATGAAAAATTTGAGAAATTCTGGATTTGATGATAAATTTGATAAACTGTTGAAATTTTAAGTGATATGTAGTAGAGGGTGCCGTTGGGCCCGTGGTGGTGCACCACGGGTCTCATTTTTATAATCTGAACCGTTCAGAGTGTGTGAACCTCGTCCGAGTATTATATACCTACAAATAATCACGTTAATGGAATATCGATAATTACGTGATCAAAATCAATTTTGTATAAAAAAAAATTAACGGGTAAAAAAATAAATGTTTGACTAGAAAACCTGATCTAATGAAACTGCTATCGATATTTTATCAACTTGGATTGTTTACAAGCAATATAGTACTCAACGAGTTGTGTACATTGAACGGTTCAGATTATCAAAACGAGATCCATAGTAGACTCTCACAGACCGAGTCCAATAACACCTTTCAATCCGATCACGACGGGACGGAAACCAATCCCTTATTTTTATATATATTTACAACTAGCCTATCACCGTGCTATGCACAGGATAATTATAGATATTTATATTTATTTTAGATTTTTTTTAATATATAAATTATGCTTTTAAGATTTTTTTTAAAAATAATTTAACAATCTTATCACTAGCTATAGTGTATGAGAGAAATTAAAAAGGGTACTGCAGTAATTATACACGAATTGTATCTATAATTATTTGTATGAGGTATGTTTTAAATGTTGATTAGGGGATTGTATCAATAAATGCAAGTATGTGGAAAGGCACGTGGATTGAAAAAAAGTTAATAAATGCTAATCAGAAATTTTGACCAAATCAATAAATGCTGCGTTTTTTTTTTAAATAAAAAATTTAGAAATTCAGATTGGAATATTAAAACTCTCACAGGCCTTGGGGTTAAAAACCCATTTTGCTTAATATATAGTATAGATATAGATATAGATAATATAATATAGATAGATAGATGTGTTGAAATTTTCAAGAATTTTGTTTATGCTGGTCTTTATGCATTAAAGTTTAATTATTAGGGGGTTTTGACAAATCTCCCAAAAGGCATGGGGATTGGGAGAAATTAATAAATATTGAGGTTTTTTTTTAAATCAAAAAAATAGAAAATTAGGATTGGAATATTGGAGCTCCACAAGCCTTGGGGTTAAAAACCCCTTTTGCTTAATATATAGTACTAGCTTATCACCCGTTGCTATGCACGGGATAATTATAGGATATTTATATTTATTTTAGATTTTTTTAATTATATAAATTATGTTTTTTAAGGATTTTTTATAAAAAATAATTTAAGCAATCTTATCACTAGCCATAGTGTAGAGGAGAGAATTTAAAAGGGTATGGCAGTAATTATACACAGATTTGTATGCGCATAATTATTTGTATAAGGTGATTTTAAATGCTAATTAAGGATTTTGACCAAATCAATAAATGCTGAGTTTTTTTTTTAATAAAAAATTTTGAAAATTCAGCTTGGAATATTGAAGCTCCCACAGGCCTTGGGGTTAAAAACCCCTTTTGCTTAATATATAGTATAGTATAAATAGATAGATACATAGATAGATAGATAGATAGATAGATAGATAGATATATCTTTTTATTTTTATTTTTATTTTTGTGTGGTTTCTATTCGGGTATTTTTTTTTCAATTTATTTAAGATGGGGTTATGGGAATCTATTTTTTTAATTTAATTTATCTGTGGTTTCCATTTGTTTTTAATTATTGTTATTTAGGTAAGTTATTAATTTGTCCCGTTAAGTGATTTAAAATTTTGACAGATATACATAAAAAAAAATACATAATTATATTATTAAATCATAATTCAAATTTAGGTGTTATATCATTTTGAGATCTATAGCTAGATGTGTTGAAATTTTCAAGAATTTTGTTATGCTGGTCTTTAATGCATTAAAGTTTAATTATTAGGGGGTTTTGACCAAATCTCCCAAAAGGCATGGGGATTGGGAGATATTAATAAGTACTGAGGTTTTTTTTTTTTAATCAAAAAAATAGAAAATTAGGATTGGAATATTGGAGTTCCCACAAGCCTTGGGGTTAAAAACTCCTTTTGCTTAATATATAGTATTAGCCTATCACCCGTGCTATGCACGGGATAATTATAGATATTTATATTTGTTTTAGATTTTTTTTAATATATAAATTATGTTTTTTAAGATTTTTTATAAAAATAGTTTAACAATCTTATCACTAGCCATAGTGTATGAGAGAATTTAAAAAGGGTACTGCAGTAATTATACACAGATTGTATCCATAATTATTTGTATAAGGGGATTTTAAATGCTGATCAGAGGATTTTAACCAAATCAATAAATGCTGAGTTTTTTTTTTTTAATAAAAAATTTAGAAAATTTAGCTTGGAATATTGAAGCTTCCAGAGGCCTTGGGGTTAAAAACTCCTTTTGCTTAATATATAGTATAGTATAGATAGATTGATTGATTGATAGATAGATATATCTTTTTATTTTTATTTTTATTTTTGTGTGGTTTCTATTCGGGTATTTTTTTTTTTTCAATTTATTTAAGATGGAGTTGTGGGTATCTATTTTTTTTAATTTAATTTATCTGTGGTTTCCATTTGTTTTTAATTATTATTATTTAGGTAAATTACGATGTGAGTTAGATATGTGATAGACATGTGAGTTTTATTGATTTAAAGTTTATTTAGATAAATTTTAAAGATTTTTTTTTAGTTTTATAGTTTTTTTGTTATGTTATAATATAATATATAAAATATAGTTGGGGTTAAAAACTCCCTTTTGCTAAATATATAGTATAGATGGGAGAAATTGAAAAGGGTGTTGCAATAATTATGAGAGAAGTCAAAAGGGATTGTGGGTTGAGAGATGTCAATAAATGCTGAGGTTTTTTTTTTTTAAATCAAAAATTTTAAAAATTAAGATTAGGAGATTGGAGCTCCCACAGGCCTTGGGGTTAAAAACTCCCTTTTGCTAAATATATAGTATAGATGGGAGAAATTGAAAAGGGTGTTGCAATAATTATGAGAGAAGTCAAAAGGGATTGTGGGTTGAGAGATGTCAATAAATGCTGAGGTTTTTTTTTTTTAAATCAAAAATTTTAAAAATTAAGATTAGGAGATTGGAGCTCCCACAGGCCTTGGGGTTAAAAACTCCCTTTTGCTAAATATATAGTATAGATGGGAGAAATTGAAAAGGGTGTTGCAATAATTATGAGAGAAGTCAAAAGGGATTGTGGGTTGAGAGATGTCAATAAATGCTGAGGTTTTTTTTTTTTAAATCAAAAATTTTAAAAATTAAGATTAGGAGATTGGAGCTCCCACAGGCCTTGGGGTTAAAAACTCCCTTTTGCTAAATATATAGTATAGATGGGAGAAATTGAAAAGGGTGTTGCAATAATTATGAGAGAAGTCAAAAGGGATTGTGGGTTGAGAGATGTCAATAAATGCTGAGGTTTTTTTTTTTTAAATCAAAAATTTTAAAAATTAAGATTAGGAGATTGGAGCTCCCACAGGCCTTGGGGTTAAAAACTCCCTTTTGCTAAATATATAGTATAGATGGGAGAAATTGAAAAGGGTGTTGCAATAATTATGAGAGAAGTCAAAAGGGATTGTGGGTTGAGAGATGTCAATAAATGCTGAGGTTTTTTTTTTTTAAATCAAAAATTTTAAAAATTAAGATTAGGAGATTGGAGCTCCCACAGGCCTTGGGGTTAAAAACTCCCTTTTGCTAAATATATAGTATAGATGGGAGAAATTGAAAAGGGTGTTGCAATAATTATGAGAGAAGTCAAAAGGGATTGTGGGTTGGGAGGTGTCAATAAATGCTGAGATTTTTTTTTTTAAATCAAAAATTTTTAAAATTAAGATTAGGAGATTGGAACTCTCACAGCCCTTAGCGTTAAAAAACTCTTTTTACTTAATATATTGTATAGATTAGTAGCTTATTTGCAATTTTGAATATAGTAACAGTAGTAATTTGATGATTTCGAAATTCCCTGGCTTAGGCTACTTTGACCAGAAACACCACTTATCTCCCTCCACATTAGCAAACGGTTCACTCTCAAGTTGCCCAAAGTGAAGCTTCCGTGCCGTGTCCATGATCGTCTCTTCTATTCACACTAGTAAATGTAATGTACAAGAAAGAGCTTATTAATTATTGTTAGTATTAGTCACTCACTCCCACCAACACCACCACATCTCTCTCTCTCCATGGGCAAGAAGGGAGGAGGCTCCTCCTGGTTGACCGCCGTTAAAAGGGCCTTTAGATCTCCATCCAAGGACTCTGAAAAGACAAGTACCAGAAGAAGAAACGACCACGACCACGACCACAACCCCAACGCAGTTGATCAACCACAACCACAACCACAACCACAACCAGAAGAAGAAGATAAGGTTCGATTATTTTACCTTCCCCCTCTCTCTCTCTCTCTCTCTCTTGATCTGTTCCTTTTTCATGTAATGTCCCTTTCTTTACTCTATTATGTAGAAAAGAGAGAAACGAAGATGGCTTTTCCGGAAGCCCACGAACCACGAACCAGCAACCCAACAAACACCGCCGAAAATGCCGGCTACCGCTTGCAACGGCGGCGGTGGCGTTTCAGATGCAGCAGCTGCCGCCACTGCTGAGCAAAGACACGCCATTGCAGTGGCTGTGGCGAGCGCTGTAGCCGCAGAGGCAGCGGTGGCCACCGCCCAAGCCGCCATGAAGGTTGCTCGGCTCGCCAGGCCACCACCACCTAATTATGCGAAGGAACACTATGCCGCGACTGTTATTCAGACAGCATTCAGAGGATATTTGGTGAGAGAGAAATGCATTCTGATCTAGTTAAGTAAAATGAATTATGATAGATAAATAGAAAGATAGATAGATAGATAGATAGATAGATAGATATTTCAATCAAGTATGGTTGCTTAATTTTATGATTTGGGTTTTGTTCAAGGCAAGGAGAGCTCTTCGTGCGCTAAAAGGGCTAGTAAAGTTGCAAGCCTTAGTGAGAGGTCACAATGTTCGAAAGCAAGCGAAGATGACACTCCGATGTATGCAAGCTCTGGTTCGAGTGCAGGCCCGGGTACTTGGTCAACGCACACAACGCCAATCTCCACAAGATACCAGAAGCAGAAAATCAACCTTCAGTGACCCAAATAGCAGCTTATGGGAATCCCCATATCTTCTTCAACTTCAACCAGATACTACTACTGCTTCTGATAGAAAGTCAATGGTATTCTCTCGCTTTTATTTACTAGTGTTTTTTTACTCATTCATTCATTGAAGCTTCAGATTCTTTAATCGCATTTGTGTAAATACATTGTTGACAGTCGAAAGATGGAAGTAGCAGCATTGCTGATGACTGGGACGGACGCCCACACACAGTTGAGGAAGTGAAAGCCATGCTACAGAATCGAAAGGAAGCTGCTTTGAAGCGTGAAAAAACTTTTTCTCATGCTCTCTCTCACCAGGTTCATCTCTCTCTCTCAAAATAGTTGCTGTAATCCTTCAACTCTGTTGATTGCAGTTCTTCTTTCAAGAGCTTTGTTATAATTTCGGGATGATTTTATCAGTAACCCATTTGCAATCCATTAACAGACTATACAGAGTGGGGCAAAACATTCTAAAGTAAAATTTTGGTGAAAATTAGCAGACTCTTCTCTAATCTTGACTCTCTTTCTTTCAATTGAAAATTTGGTTAAAAACTTGATCGAGTATGATACACTCCATCTTTTTTTAAAAAAAATAAATCAATTTATGCTAAAAACCTGGTTTAACCTAACCATTTATTTATGGGGGGATCATGTCCAATCATTACAAAATTTTGTCAAATTCAAGTAAAAATGGCTGTTGAAAATTTGAAGTATTTGGTTCATCCTTAATTTAGTGAAAGTTTTGTGTTTACCTTGACTTGATACAAGTTTGATGAAATGACTGAAGCTCACATTTATTCATCAAAATTTCCATTTAATGAAAGAATTAGTCAAGGATTGGAGATACTGTACAGAGTTTTTATAAATTGTCCCAACACATCTAATGTCTTCAATGCCTTGATAAGTTGTATCTATGTTCTTACTCTTATGGAAGTTATGAGCTAATAGTTGCAAATGTTTTCTGCAATACTATGTCGAAGATGTGGAGAACTAGGAGGAACCAATCATTTGGAAACGAAGACGAGCTTGGAGAGAGACAACCACAATGGCTGGACAGGTGGATGGCAGGGAAGCCGTGGGAGGGCAGGGGAAGAGCTTCAACTGATCAAAGAGACCCTATTAAAACTGTCGAAATTGACAATACCTCACAACCTGACTCATACTTGGCTCCTAATTTCCGACGATCAAATCAACCCCAATACCATCCCCAAAACCACAACCAAAGATCCACTTCACAATGCCATGCGTCTCCTCTGCACCATCGAGCCCTCCATGTCTCCCCTGTTACGCCCTCTCCGTCCCAAACAAGGCCTCCCCAAGTCCGCTCTGCAAGCCCCCGCTGTGCTAGAGAAGAACGAAGCTACCAGGCAGCACAGACACCGAGCTTAAGGTCTAATTACTACTACAACGGTGGTGTTGGCGGCGGTGGTGGTGTGGTTCCAAATTACATGGCTGCAACAGAGTCTGCTAAAGCAAGGGCTAGGTCCCAGAGTGCACCGAGGCAGAGGCCATCGACGCCAGAGAGGGAAAGATTTGGGACGGTTAAAAAGCGGTTGTCATACCCGGTTCCGGACCCATACAACAATGGAGGAATTACTGGGTATGGTGGTTATGGAGGCTACAATAATAATAATCTGAGGAGTCCAAGCTTTAAGAGTGTAACTGGGTTTCATTCCAATTATTCATCTTGCTGTACGGACAGTCTTGGTGGTGAGATCTCCCCTTCATCAACCAGTGATCTTAGGAGGTGGTTGAGATGATTTAAACACCAAATACTATATGGAGAATAGCTTCTCTTCACTTCAGATATAGACCAGAGAGTTCAATCTGGCCTTCTAAATTGTGTTAAGTAGACACTTTTTATAAATTAAAAGCTTAAATTTTATCTACCCATTGACTTATTAAATATTGGGTCAAAATTTTTACTCAGATCCAATATTGAGTTTGTGAATGGATGGACAAAATCTAAACTTTTAATTTACAAAAAAAATGTTGACATGACACAATGTGCAAGATTAAACCAAACCTGTTCATACCTTAGACGGTAGAGAAGTCGACCTCTATATGATGACCTTCTAGAGCTATTACAATTTGTTGGGGCTGCTCTTTTATTTTCTTTCTTTTAACCCTCCGGATAAAAAATTGGGGCATTGTGGTTGTTGGAATGAGTGTGTTAGTCAGTTGAATATTGAGTAAGTAGTTGGATTTATTGACCATAAAAAGAACAAAAAAGAATTCTTGTTTAGTAGGATTGTGTTCTTGTAGCTATTTTGTTATGTTGTCGAGTTCAATAGTTATCAATGCAGTCACATGTATGTATCTTGTTTTAAGAGAATTGTTTTGACCTTTTGAGAGGTTATTTTGACTGTATGGTAGAACTAACTTCGTATAATTTGTCCTTTTTTTTTTATTATTATTATTATTTTTATCTAGACTTGTTTGGATTGGGTATTTGAGAAGTTTGTTTTTAAATTAATCATACACCTTGGTTAGACTGTAAATATTGAATTAACCATATCTAACTGGGCAAGGTACATGAGTGATCCCAACATCAATTTCTTAGCTCTACAATGATTCTTCTATTCATTTCAATAGCAGCATTGGGGTAGCTAAATTTGTTACATCAGAGCATCTCCAACGGTTCAATATTTTTTTTACTAAATTTGAGTAAAAAATGGCTCATTTTCTCAATCTAATATCAGTTGCTCCAACGGTGCATCAAAAAGAAGAATCATTCCATGGGTCGACCAGTAAAGCAAATTATTAATTTTTTTTTTTAACCTTTTTGAACTTTTTGAACCTACCTAACCGTTGGTTCAAATTTTTTTTGAATTGTTTGAACCAGTAATTTGCATGAGCTGGTCGACCGGTTGGTCAACCGGGTGGTCGACCAGGTGGTCAACCAGGTGATCAACCACCATGTGTAAAATTTTCACAAATTTCTACTTTAACGGCTATGCACAGAGAATTGGTGAAAGGAGCAATCCGTCCTCAGTTTGGTGAAACGTTTAATATTTTCTCAATTTGATACTCTTTTAGTGCAACTGTTGGAGTACAAAAAGTAATTTTTTTTCATCAAATTTGAATTTGATGTTGGATTTTGTGAACCGTTGGAGATGGCCTCATTGATTACAATGATCATGCCAATCTAAATTTTTTTTTATAAATAATTTACACATTAAAATTTTAAGAAATTAACAAATTGAATTATTAAAATGGAACCTATTATATAAACGTATGACAGCTTTCTATAAAATTTCACATTAGATGTTGCAAATAATTCTATCATCTGAATGGGGTAGGGGACAATGGCTTGGGGAAAGTTCCCATTATGATCAGGAGGAAAGACACTTTCATGTGCTATATATAGATATATATATATATCTCATCACCCTTTATTTGTGTACTTTTTTCTTCTCCTCTTCTGCGTTTCCATGTGCAAAAAAGCCTCATAAATTTCACTTCAATACACTTGTTAGTGCAAAGGGGGCAATCTCTCTCTCTCTCTCATGCTTTTTCTAGACCTTTTCGCCCATTTCTTTCTCTTCCATGCCCCCCATTGAATGGAATGGAAGGCTCACAATGAAACAAAGAAAGTGAGAATCAAAGTGTAAATGTATGTATATATGTCATCACTGAAATCCAAACTGATTATTGACAAAATTCATGACCCCATATTTAATCACTCTCAGTGGGTGCTTTTGGGATCTTTGCGACCCACCACCCCCATTTTGATATCAGTACGAAAAGTAACTGTAGCTGAGTTGATTGAAATTATTATTTCCAACACCAGTTTTGACTCAAAGGCCACTACTTACCCGGTACTAACTATTCACTAGTTCTTTGTGCTTCCATTCAAGTCGTTTTTTCTTTTTTAATCTATCTATCTATCTCAAGTTAAATATTGAGATCTTGTTTTATTACGTTTTTAAAAATGTTAAATTTCCAGTAAAAAAAATATATATTTCAATGAATCTTAAATGAATAAAATGACTTAATAATTAAACCTTAGAGCTTGAAAGTTGAAGAGATTATGGTTGCAGCACTGCTAATCTTTGTTGAAAGATTAGTTTGAGAGAGTGAGAGAAGCTATAGAGTGAGAGAGAGACTCTGAAATGTTTGTATATTGATTGATTTACAAAGAGAATGAAGTCTCTCTTTATAGAGAGAAATATGGGCATTGGATACCACCATTACCACCGAAAGCAAAAAGTAAAGCTATACAATTAATAATATAAAGCTAAAGCTAGTCTATCATAAAGCTATACAATTAATAATGATAAAGCTAAAGCTATTCTAACATTTGTCAATGACGTTTCATAGTGAAACTGCTACGTCAATTTCAACTTCCATATCAGAAAGTCTAACCTTTCAGAAAAACAACTAAAAAAGGAATCAGAACTTTGAATCTACGGTGTAGATTTATTCCTTTTGTTATGGGAATACATCATCAATAAATCTTGTCCATGAATTTAAGATTTTGAGTATGTTTCTGATTTTATTTTCTGAATATGTAGTGTCTTTGCTTCCATATTAATGGTCACTGAAAAATTTCAGAAAAAATGAAGTGAAAAATGGAAGAACACTACCATCATGGAAACCTCATGCTCTGTCAAATTTCAACCATGTAATGTCTTTTAATAACATGAATTTATTGGTTGTTCTTGGTATTGCTGTCAGGGGTGGTGCCCAATACCCATGTGATTGGTGTAATTGTATAACAGATGGGCCAAGTACTTTGTGTTGCTATTTAACAAGTTGAGCTTTTTGGTCTTTTTATTTTTTTTAATTTCTGTTTGCTTTGAATTTTCTGAATTCGCTTTTTAAAAAATTGAAACTTTTTGTTTTTCATGCTTTTTGTTTTTACTAATTTTTAAAAATATTTTAAGTAATTTTTTTAATTTTTAGGAATTGTTTGGAATAATGTAAATAAGTGTACTTTTTATCTTTTTACGAAAATGTATGCAGAAAAATAGAGAGATGATGTGAAGATAAAAAGATAAAACGTGCGTACTTATTTTGGGTTGCCAAACTTGGCCTTAACATAAATACACTTAAAAAGTATATAATATTTGTGCAAAAAAATGTTCAAAAAATTCACTAAATCCCAAAAATATAAAAAAAAAATAAATAAAAATTCAGAATATTTTTCATATTTTTGTGTATTTATTAATTTTTTTTAAATATTTTTTTTATAAATATTTTACTTTTTAGATACATCTAAGTAAGGTGCATTTTAAAAAGTAAAAGAAATTACTTTGAATTTTAAAAATATTTATAAAAATAAAAAAAAATATGAAAAATAAAAAATTTAATTTCTAAAAAATTGAAACCAAACATAACTTTTGCAACATTTGGTAATTTCATTTGACCCAAAATAAATTTAAAAGTCCAACGTTTTTTTTCCCTCATTTAAAAACTTCTAAATTTACTTGAATTTTTTTAATAGCACGGCTCCTTTTATTTGGACATAAAATATTTTATAACAAAAATTATTTTTAATGTAAAAGGATTTTATGAAAAAAATAGTTGTCAAATTTTCGAATGTTTGGTTGGTATTCAAAATAATATTTTCAAATCAAATCTCAATATCTTGAGTCAAGGCAACATGGCTTTCTCTACTCTTGAACTTTTCAACCTAAGCAACGCACAATTGCTTACGGATTTTGGAATTGTACGTGCGCGGAATAATCTTTCTCGTATAATCATGTTGATCAAACTTGCATTCCTCCAAACGTCATCATCTAATTACCTGAAAACACAAAAATGAGCTAGCTGGCGGGTGTGTGCCGAAAACCCCTCTGACGCCTAAGTCAACAAGTAGACAATAGACACCAAAACTCTATCAATTCGGGAGTAAGAATTGTAATACTATCTGAGATTAGGGTTTAGTTTGAGGTTTTGTAAACTTCGCATGGCACAATCTTAATAGGATTCTAACTCTCCTATATAGAGTTAAGAGTCCTCTTAGAAATCACATTACCGAAGGATAATGCTCATCTTTTAACATCCTTCTCACTGCAAGCTAAGTAAGATGACACAAGTTTTTACTCGGCTTTCTACCGTGTAACCGGACTATTTTTGCTCTATCCGCCAATGGCTTAGCCGTGCAACATGCAACGTCGTGCAATGTTATGTTTACACGGTGTGCCACTAAACTGACATTGCGCGGCTCTCCTCCTAGCTTGGCTCTCCTCTCTGTTTGACTACCATTATAAGAAATTACACTTTGGCCGACCAAAAATTTAGTTGGCAAAAGTCTATTTTTAGTCGGCAAAAATTTTCTGCGACTAAATTTTTTGGTCACCAATGGAGGATCGGGAAAAGTAATTAGCGACTAAAATTTTTTTTAGTCAGGAAAAAGGTTCTATTTGCCAACTAAATTTTTGGTCGCTAAATATATATTTACCACGACTAACCATTTTGTAACTAAAACAGTTTAATCACCAAAAGTGATATTTTCTCAACTAAATATATTAGTCGCCAATTGTCACATTCCACAATGAAACATGTTAGTCGCCAATTGTTACATTCCACAACGAAACATGTTAGTTGCCAAAAGTCACATGCCATGACTAAACACGTTAGTCGCCAAAAGTAATGTTTGCGCAGTCATTACTTCAGTCTGCAATAGACCTATTGGCGACCAAACCCTTTGATTGCCAAAATTAATAATTTTATCGACTAATTATTTAGTCACAAAATGTACCCTCTCGCCTACCAATATTTTGATCGCCAAAAGTGAGTCATACACCGACTACCTTATTTAGTCGGCAAATTATTTATTGATGTTTCTCGATTAATCACTTGGTCACGAAAAGAGGAAAAACAAAACCAAATTTGGTCGCCAACATCTAACAAAATCAACCTGTAATTTATAATAATTCATCCAATCTATTCAATATAATCTGTAATTTGTAATAATCATTCAAACCAACAAAATCAACTGAATCATAAACATTCAATAAAATACATAAATCATCCAATCCCGAACTTGTTTAATTAAAATCATCAACTTTTATAAGTTTTCATCCACAAATAATTCCAAACTATATATTCTTCCAATTAAAAATCCACTTGTAATCTATATAACCATTCAAGTCACATTCATCTAGCATAAAAATTTAAAACATAACACGAAATTGTTATTATATTTTAAATTTTTATCCATACGCATCCATCAAAAAATATAACTAGTAGTTTACCCAAATATGGTCTATACACATCTATCCAAAAATATATAATCTTTCAAAAAATGTAACAAGTGCCAACTAATTCTGTACAATTCAGCTTCGTGCACAAGTTCATCCATTTGCATCAAAGAAAAAAAGAAATAATGTCAGGTAATTTTTTTATGCAAATATTTGCACATTAAATTTTTTTCACATTTTTTTGTCTAAATTTCTAACAAGATTTCAATGTTGGGCCTGTTACAAAAACAAAAAAACAAAAAAACAAAAAAACGAAAAAACAAAAACAAACAAACAAAACAAAACAAAACAAAAACAAAAACAAACTGCAATTCCTCTTACATCTAGAATCAGATCTTGCTCTCAGTAAAATTATCCTTTTCACCTACACATAAATAAATAGCAATTGCAAATTATAATCCTTTTGAAGAAAATCTACAACAATGAAGAGATAAAAGCTAATACATAAATCACCATTATAATAAGAACATATATATCCCTGTATAATAAGATCTTTAAGGTGAGTTTCATCAATCAACATTTAGATAATCAAACAACAAAAAATCACCATGAACTTTCTTTATTACCCGTACTTCTTTCCATTACCATAGTAACTAATATATACTCAAAAAAACATAATCATCATACGACAAATTCCATTATGAACTTTCTTTATTACCCATTTTTCTTTTCACTTATTTTTCAATTCCCAAATTTCATTATATATATAGCCAATCCTTGTTTGTTCCAGATTTAATATAATCAATTATGAAAAGCATATTATGTAAGTTCAACAACTAAAAAGAAGAAAAAAAAAAGGGGAACACTTGAACTTTTAAGGTGCATATACCAGAGCTATTAGACCATAGAGGTCCATTCACACCAACAGAGATCAGAGAAACAGGGAGGAACAAGATGGGTTCTCTATGGCTTGGATGTGTTTCTCTCATGCTTGTAGTCTAGTTTTTTCGATGAAATTAATTAATAAGCATAGAAATGATAATTCAAGTGTAAAACTTGTTAAGTTCTAAAAAAATTCATATGGGATTATGATGGTGCTGCGGTTAGATGGGGCCTTTCCCACCATAAAGAAAGTGCATATGACTGTTGTCAGGCTTGCTTGGATCATTCAAAACGTGCCAGACCAGGTGAAAAGAAATGCAATACATGGGTATATTGCCCATCAGAGACAGGGTGCTATTCGCCCGACATTTATGAACACAAACATATGGAGTGCTGGCTGAAATATGTAAGCAGTGGTGTACCTTCTTACGAAGTCATTAAGTTCTCTTTTTTAAATAAAACCTAATAATTAGAAGCAAAGCTAAAAGCACTGTTGCTCCTGCTTTATTTAAGCTATTTTGCCTAACAAGTTGTAAATAAAAGCTGCACTAAACACTCTGGGCACAAATTTTCATAATAAAGGAATGCCATAAGCAGCCCCATAAGCTTCACCAAACAAGGCCGAACTATTTTGCAATTTAACATTAATTTCATCTGAATTTTTGGTTGTTCTTGCTCTGATCTTTATAACACAGGTGGAAAAACACAGAGTGAATTTCAAAGACAAGTATTCGGAATCTTACAGGAACTCCCACCCAAATGTGCCCGTGACTGTTCCATTGGTCTCTGGTGTTGTTACTGCATAATTGGTTTCTGTCAACAATTGACAGCAAATCTGAAGACGGAAGAGTTAGAAACTGTTAACTGTGTTGTGGAAACTTTACAAACACTACCTACGTGAAGCCATGCTGTAATTGTAATCTCTAGAGAATCTGAAGACGGTAGAGTTAGAAACTGTTAACTGTGTTGTGGAAACTTTACAAATACTTTCTACGCGAAGCCCCGCTGTAATTGTAATCTCTAGACTCACAATATGCTCATATATCAGTTGGGGCTTTCAACATTTGTTGTCTTTTTTGTTGTTTCACTCTTTTTGATGTTGGTGGGATTTTGTTGGTGATTCATTGTGGTGGGTTTGGTGCCGATGCTTTGAAGTTGAAGTCCAGTGCTAAACTGAGAAAAAAGGGGCTTTATAATAGTCAGATGTGCAATTGTGCAAATGCTTGTGCCCCAAGGATGTAATATGATAAATTGTTTCAATATATTATTGGTATTGTCAACTTATAAGCATCACTGATTCTCTCTCTCTCTCTCTCTCTCTCTCCAAATATTTTAACTATCTTGGCTATGCATGATTGTTAGAGCATGGTTGGATTTTGGCAAAGCAAATGTAACGAGTATTCAATAATTCAAACAACATTGATTTTAACATTTTCTTTTATCATGACTATGTAAGATCTTAAGATAGAACACTTCATAATTCTGTCAAAATTATAGCCTTGTTAAAACAAATTCTAGAATAGCAGAGACAATCTCAGTACCAAACGTATTTTTTACTCAACCATGGCTCAACATTTTTTTTTTTGATACATCCGAATAATAAGGATATTATATTATCTTGAGGAAGAGCGGAGGGGAAGTGACGTTCAAACCCAGCAGATGAGCAAGGAAGGAGTCAAGGCCCACACCACCGGACTATCCTCGTAAACTCGTGTTCAGCAACATTAAACATAATTAACAGATCACAATCAAATTCATTTGTACTTTACATAATAGCTACGGGCAAGGGCAAACCACGATAGAAAGGGTCAACATCTATTTTAAGTGAAAAATGTCCTAGGAAGCACGGATACGGATACGGGATACGGATACGGATACGATACGATACGGCGATACGACAAAATTTGAAAAACTAGGATACGGGTAAGGAGGGGATACGTTCGTAAAAAATATTATTTTAACAATTTTTAGTAATGCAGTATGCATAAAAATAAAACTTAAAGCAAAAGACAACTTGATAAAGAAGAAAGATTCCTACAAAACTAAGAGTCTTCAAGATCAATAGCTTCAATTTGTTCCCCTTCATCAGTGAATATCACAAGACCTTAGCTAAAGCTAAAGTCAAAAAACCATTCTTAAATAAAAATTTCAGCAAATATACTTTTTTAAGTCATCAATGATAGCCTAGGAAGCACGGATACGAATATGGTGATATGGGGATGTGGATATGGCGATATGTCAAAATTTGAAAAAGTATGATACGGGTACAGCGGGGATACATTCATAAATTTTTTTTTTTTTTTTATAATTTTAATAATGTAATATGCATGAAAATAAAACTTAAAGTAAATTAATAAATAAAGATAGGGATTCCTACTAACCTAAAAGTGCTCAAACATTCATAAAACATCCAAAACTAAAAGCAAAAGCAAAAGCAAATGCAAATTAAACATCATCCTTGCATGCCAACACCAAAAAAAGAATGAGAGCAGAGAGAAGAAACGTGAGAGAGTGAGAAAGCGAGAGAGAAGTGAGAGAGACAACAAGAATACATCAATTTGACAAATTCTATTACTTTAGCTCTCGCTATATTCCTCTTATGAAAGAACTAAACAAAATATTATAAGTAATATGTAACTTCGAGTATCCGATACTTCAAAATTAAATATCTAATACTTCAAAATTAATAAAAAATTAATTAAGAAGTATCCGATACTTTTAAGAAGTATCCGATACGTATCCGCGAGTATCCGAGGAGTATCGGTATCCGATAAGTATCCGATACGGATACGTTACCCTTTTTGAAGTATCCGTGCTTCATAGAAAATGTCAAACAAAACAACGCATATCACACACACACACACACACACACATACATGTGTATATTAGCATTTGGATCAAACAAAACCGACTACAAAGTTCTTTCCCTCTCCTTGACATAAATCCAAACTACCTTAGCACCATATTCTACTATAATTGTGATCGCACGCACAAACACACAAAAAGAAAGAAGAGAATTGACCCAGCATCACTTCTTCCACAAGATATCTGATGCATATGAGAACAAAACTAGGAGTTTTACATTTTAAAGGCCTGTATTGTATGGGACCATCCTCTTGAATTACACGTTTCAGATACCTATTAACACTCTGTACATGTTTCAGATATTAATAGTCAATGCTGGGAAATACTGATTGACAAAAAGTCAAACACTACTGCTCTGCAAGTCAAAAATCTCCTGACCCGTAGAAATGGCAATGGATAACCTACCCTGTGAGTATCCATGGAGACTCGATCCAAATACATGGGGTTTCTCCTTTTTTCTTACCTGTCGGGTAAGTAAGTGGTGTTCTTTAAACCTCCACTGGGGATATGTTGGGGATAGGTACCCACCCATTTCCCCTTATGTTTTCAATACTCTATTTACAACTAGGGTTCTAATTCTCACTCTCTCATCCTCTCGCTGCATCAACGGCAATTTGCGACGGCGACAATCTAGCGGTGGCGATCTCCATCGACACTTACCACAGTGGTTCTCCGGCGTGGTGTTCTCTTTCTCTTTCTCTTTCTCGCTCTCTCGTTCAAATACTGAATGTATACACTGGGTCTAAAAATCCTAAACAACATCACAAGCTTTTGGGTTTGCGTGTGTTGTTTGATTCCTTGAAAGCATAAACCACATCACAAGCTTTTGTTTCGCATCTGGATTTTCTGATCTGATCAGAAATCTGTCCCCGATTCCATCCCAATTTTCCCCTTGAACTCAAGTGGAAGTTGAGTTCATTGTTCTTAGCTGATCTGCAACAGAAAAAATCAATACGAAGGTATCCCCAAATTCCCCTCTTTCCCAATTCATACTAGCAGCTGAATTTGAGATCTTCAGTGTTTTGTTTTTTAATGGGTACCTAAAAAAATTGCAAATTTCGGCTGAAAAAGAGCTTATTTGATGATTGTATGAACAAATTAGCCCATAAATTTACTCATTTCAGTATCAATTTGATATATTTCGAGGGTCTTCTTGCATGGGATTTAATTCTTTGAGTTGTTACATTGTTTGGTTGGTATTTGATTGTTTTATTTATTTATTTTGTACTCAGTTAAGATTCAATAATAATTATGTATTAATAATTAGGATCAGAAGTTGTAAAACTTGAGAGTAAATTTTTGGCTTAGAAGTTTGACTTTGAAATCATCCATAAGAGGTAACCAGCAACAGATTAAGACTCCAACCAGAGCCTCTGATCTCTGTCCAGAACCCCACATTGTTCTGCGTAAAACTAACAATGAACAAATTTCTAATGAAATGTGTGTAATAGGGAGAAACTGAAAGAACTCTTTGGTCGACAGCATCTAATCATTGGAAACACACCAAATTCTAATGAAATGGTTATCTAAAGGTACTTCATAATAATCCAAACTGCAGAGTCATTTCAAATTCTATGGCTAGAATAAGTTTAATGGAACCATGAAACTAAACAAAACCCAAGGAATTTAAAAAAGGTATAATAGAGCAGGAAGTTAACTATAGACTAACAAGGCATAATGAAATAAACTATTAAGTAAATTTCCTCTGCCTATATGTCATTTACTAACTTTAAAAAAATATATATATATTTGGGGATAAGTAACAGAGTATATATTAATATATAATTTGATATAACAGAAGGGCAAGTTATTTAAAAACACAAACTAAAACAAAATAAAAAAGAACATGCATGCTATATGTTGGAAACTGCTGCTCAAAGTCAAGATTCCATGAAATGAACAAAAAAAAAATAAAGGTAAAAATATCCTGTATATAATTTACCATAGCCAAAAGAGCTGCTGCAGTCAGTCCAGCACCAGTGCCCTTAACTTCCTACATGAAGGGCAAATGAACAAGATTGACAAATATCAGTTTGTAGAAAATTCACAGTAAAAACAATATATATTGTAGAAATTTAATGTATAAAGAGAAATAGAGAATTGTATTATTGATTGATATATTGTTTGTTGTTTTTATTACAATGATTCATGATTCCTATATATAGAAGAGGGTGAGTGTGTAGTAGGTAAGAAGTAGGTGAAGTGGAGGTGGTAGTGGTGTAGTGGGGTGATAAATTTTAACATATATATATATATGTTCCAACATATCAAAAATAATAATAAAAGCAAAAATAATATGTTCCAAAAGACAAATAAATCTAGCCAGAAAGTGAACCTTTGTTAGCAGATTGGTTGCCCATGCAGCATTAGCCAAGAATATTGGAGCCGTAAATACACAAACGGTTTCCATCCAATGATACAGGAATATTCAAAGAATTCAGTATCCTGCCATGAGAAGAAAAAAAAAAAAGTATCAAAAATAACTACAGCAGAACTCACTCACATTCACCCTTCTGATTGTTTTGTAGTATTAGGAAAACCAAATTTACAGAATTCAATCATTTAGCAAAGGACACAAAGAAATCTAATGTCCTTAATCTCACAATCTTAAATACACACCACCACATGGTGCCTGCTGTCAATGTCAATCCAGGGTAAACAGTTCCACCAATCACACATCCAAGAGGATACCTTAGAACAAGTTAAATATACAGTGTCACTTTACATTCATTAAACAACAACCTATAGTAGAATAAGTAAACAAGAGTTTCGTCAAACGAACTAATCAACCACTTGAATAAAAATTACCACGTCTGGTCATCAAACCAATTCCAAAAGTCATATATTCCATTCTTTATGAGATACTGAAATCAAAAACATTCTTGTCATCTTCAATATGCTTTAAAATTATTGCAAAATAATTAAATGAAGTGAAGCACACACTAGATAAGATAACTCGATACAAACTGCACAAGTTTCAATAAATTATATTACACAATTAGCTACCAAAGACTTTATGGGCTAGAGAATATAAATTCCACCTCCATAACCACCTGACCATACAAATGCCATCAACATACATACTAATATACTTCTGATTTGGTAGGAAGGGATATTCTAGTTTTTTTATAAGCAAAAATTTCTAAATTTATTAAACTGAAGTCCTCCTAAATGCGATTGAAAGAGAGTAACTAACAAATCGGAATAGAGCCACAACTCTTTCAGTATATCAGCTGCAGGTGCGGATCCTCATGGTGGAAAACGTATTAAACTATAACCTCAAAACTAGCAAGCACAAAGGATGTTTTTTATAAAATTTTGACAGAAGTAGACTCAATAGCTACAATTGGATGATGGATTAGACCTTAACCATTGCCTTAAAAACTGCAGTTATGGAATAGTCATATTATCATTCATTTTAGTTTTTTTTGCTAATTCATAATATCATTCACTTGCTTCTTCACTTTATTTGACATTTGCATGCGTATTTTCTGGAGTTGAGTTTAGTCATATGCGTTTGCAATTCCTAGTCTTATTTATTTATTTATTTATGTTCTCCAGGATTTTTAAGCATTGATAATGTCTAAAATTGGAGCAAACTCTCAAGCAAACTCCCAACTACCCGTTGATGGTTTACAACCATCAATATCGGTTGAGAGTGAGACCTCTCTACCATCACAACCTCCCCTCCCAAATCAAAATGTCCTTGATGTAGATGATTCTGATTCTAGTCTAGCTACTAGAAAAAACCCCAAGTTTTGTGTGGCAACACTTTAAGAAGGAAGAAATTGATGGGTATGGAAGGCAATATGTAATTATTGTAAGAAGCATCTTGGGGGTTATCTGAAACATGGAACTTCACATTTGTGTGATCACTATAGGAGTTGTCTTAAGAAAAGGGAGGGAATGGACATGAGGCGAAGAGTTTTAACTAGCAACTTTAACAAGGCGAGCCCAGAAGTCTCTTATAGTTTTGATGAAGATATTGCTAGGAAAGAGCTTTCAAATGCCATAATCTTGCATGAATACCCTTTGTCTATTGTGGATCATATTGGGTTTAAAAGATATTTGATGGCACTTCAACCATTGTTTAAAATACCTTCTCGAAAGACAATGAAAAGTGATAGTTTGAAGATCTATGACAATGAGAAGGAGAAGATAATGAGATTGGTACAAAGCAATCAAAGTAAAGTGGCAATCACAACTGATATGTGGACTTTTAGTAATCAAAGAAAGGGTTCATGGCGGTCACGACACACTTTATTGATGATGGTTCTTGGACATTGCAAAGCCGAATTTTGAGGTATATTTTTGCATATAAATTAATCTATGTTTTATTACAGATTGTTGTTGCATCATATATTATATACATTCTACTGAAAACATGTCTTGATGTGCTTTTGGTGTTGAACAATTACAATGGAAGCTATTCATAATGTTTTGTTGATCGAAATTTTGTTTTAATTTATAATTTTAGTTTCATTTATGTTCCATGTCCACACACAAAAAAAGTTCTTTGTGATACTTTGCTCAATTGTTTGATGGATTGGGATCTTGATAGAAAAGTATCTGCTATCCCTGTGATGGATTGGGATCTTGATAGAAGTCCTTTGTGATAATTGTTCCACCAATGATGTGATGATTAACATTTTGTTGGATAAATTGGATAGTATTTCTCTTCTTTTGGGTGGGACTTTGTTTCATATGCATTGTTGCGCACATTCTCAATTTGATTGTCAAAGATGGATTTGATGTGATAAGAGTAGGTGTAGAGAATATTCGGGATAGTGTAGTTTATTGGACAACAACTCTTAAAAGAGTAGAAAAATTTGAAGAAACAGCTCATCAAGTAAAAAATTTGAATACTAAAAAGATAAGACTTGATTGTGCAACTACGTGGAATTCAACGTACTTGATGCTTCAAACTGCCTTGTTGTATTAGGATGTATTTTACCACCTGAAATATAAAGAGACCCAATATACAACATTGCAAAGTGAAGAGGAGTGAGAGTTTGCTAGAGAAATTTGTGGAAGATTCAAGATATTTTATAGAGCAACTGAATTGTTTTCTGGAATTAAATATCCCATGGCCAATGTTGCTTTTCCAAATTTATGTGAGATTAGGATAACAATCTCTCAATGGCTCTCTTGTTCAATTGAGGTGGTTAGGTTAATGGCATCAAAAATGTTGAGAAAGTTCGATAAATATTGAGTTGTTATACATGGTCTTATAGGTTTTGCTGTTGTGCTTGATCCTAGGTACAAACTTAGTGTGTTGAAGTTTTATTTTGATAAACTTTATGGAGATACAGCGGAAGAGGAAATTGCGAAGATTCGCCAACTTTGTTATGATTTGTTGCAAGAGTATCAAAGAAAACTTTGTTTGGGGACTAATGCCAATGTTGAATCTTCTACAAGTTCAAATTTTGGGGATTCAGAGGTAGTTTCATATTATGATTTGTTTATTAGTAGAAAGCGAAGAAAAAAAAGTCAACAATGTAGCATCAGAGATGGACCATTATTTAAAAGATGATGTTGTGTCAAGAACCCCCAATTTTGATGTGTTGGCTTGGTGGAAATCAAATGCGTCGAAGTATCCAACCTTACAAGCAATAGCTAGGGATTTTTTAGCCATTCCGGTATCCACTGTTGCTTCTAAGTCTGCATTTAGCACTAATGGTAGGTTAGTGAGCCTGTATCGGAGTAGGCTTCATCCAGATACTTTGGAAGCATTGATGTGTGCACAGAGTAAATTGTGGGCTATAGGGATGCAAGGTACTTAAATAAATCAATATGTAATTATTTTTAAAATAAATATATTTTCATTGAAGTCTCGGTACTTAATTTCTTTTTTTATTTTTCAGGTAATTCAACATTGGAATCAGTTGGTTATGCTACTATATATGATGAGATGGATGTGAATCAGAGTTGATCTTTTTTTAGCATTTCTCTTGTTGAACAGCTCAAACTTTCATGGTAGGATCATTTTACATGTTATACATTGTCTTTCAGTATATGGATGTGAATCAGAGTCGAGCAACATTTTTTTCTTTGATCTTTATTATCCTTGTGTAGGTTTTGTTGTTTGAGTGTTGCTGCTGTTGGAATGTTGTTGCTGCTGGAGTGTTGTTGCTGCAAGAAACTTGTAAAAAATTAGAGTTAAAATGTCAAAGAATGCACTTTGTTGAATTGGGAGCTGAAATGTCAAAGAATGTGCATTGGGAGTTTAGTGTGTTTTCCTTCTAGCTGAATTAAGCCTTACTATAAACATCTAACTACTTTAATAATTTTGTGCAATTCATTTATGATGTTTAGAATTACACAAATAGATACTTTGACATACATGTGTATTTAGAGTGTTATCGATATGTGGGTTTTGGTTGGCAGAGAATTTTTTGACATTATTTTGTTGGTTCTATCATTAGTATCTTTGCTGTGCATTTTGATTTGTTATAATTTTTTTATTTTTTTGTGTGCGCTACCGTTGGGATGAACATGGTTAGCTCTGTATTAGTGTTGGTTGGTAGAGATTAGCAATCAATTCCTTATTTATGCCTTGATGCAATTTAATATGGATCTTATAACACTTTCTTCAAACAGGTTCTTCCACATTTTATTTCTTCAAACAGGCTCTTATAACATTGTAACATTGTAAGGGGGAAGGGAGAGAGAGAGAGAGAGAGATGGTTGTAATTTTTTTTTTTTTTTTAAATCTTTCATGTTCTTTCACATTTTTTGTTCAATTACTAAAACTTATTTGATTGTCTCAAAATTATATATTTGATTTTTTTAAAAACAAACTTTTTAATTAAGTAATTAATTAATGTGTATTTGATTTTGTTGTTGAACCAAATAAAATAAAATAAGATTAAATGTATATTTAGCTTTGGTTGGGAACCTTTCAAAAAAATAAAAAAAATAATAAATAATAATAAAAAAAAGAGAAAAAAAAATGGGTGTTAACCTTAAAAAAATAAAAAATAAAATAAAAAAATAAAAAAAAGGTCAAGTTGGGTTGGGAAAAATCCAAACCCATTAAGAGATGGGGAAGGTAGTACTCATGGGGAATGGGAAAAATTTATTATAGGGGAATGGAGATGGGAAATTAATATCCACTCCATTAACCCCCATTGCCATCCCTACTGACCCACATGTTTTGGTTAATTTTGGTACAATATCTGTTAAGCTTCTTTAATTGAACTTGGTACAAGCTTTTAAGAAAAAGGGAAATAGTTCAGGCATTTTCAAAGCCAATAACCCATCAACTGCCAGTTATGTAAAGAAAAGGAAAAATCAATGAATTTCTTATTCTCAATCAATCAATACAGTAGTCTTACATCATATATATATATACATCAGCTGAGGTGTATTTCCTCTTTTAAAGCTCCTAACTAACATACTAACAAACTTAACCAAACCTAACTAACTGTAGTTACTCAGGTGTAGTTCTAACTAATTTTGGTGAATCAGTTGCACACTCCTTGTGACAGCTAATCACAGATTTACTTATGCTGCAGCCTTGCTTAGCTTGATCTGAATGGCGGTTGGAACCACCATGAGCTTGGATTTTAAAAACTGAAACTCGACAGTGGGAAGAGGTTTGGTAAAAATATCAGCCAGTTAGAGATGAGTGGGAACAAATCTGACAGCAAGGGATTTGGCAAGAACTTTCTCACAAACAAAATGATATGTGCTTGGTGCGGTGGGCATGGAAAACAGGATTAGAACTGATAAAGCACTGTTAATTGCCAATGAGAGGTCAGGTCTGATAATAGTAAAAGGTATTGTAAGGCACCAACTAAGCTTTCGTATAAAGATGGATTAGAAAAAGGGAGCAGATCAGATTCTTGCACTGAAGTTTTGAGAGAAATTGGGGAAGAACAAGGCTTGCAACCCAACATGCCCCCTTTGGATAAATGTCAATGACATACTTGGACTGAGAGAGGAAATAGCCAGAGTTAGTTGCCTGAATGGAGATACCTAAAAAGTAATTAACATCCCCCAATTCCTTCATAGAAAGCACCATGCACGAGGATGATTAAAGAGGAAATAAAGGACGAATCTGATCCAGTGATGAGGATGTCATCCACATAGATTAAGGCCACAGTGAACGAGGTAGAAGACTGTTTAACAAACAAGGAGTTATCACAATGACTAGCCCTGAAGCCAACGGAAGTCAGACGGGCATGAAAAGTGGAGAACCAAGCCTGTGGAGCTTGTTTAAGCCCATATAAAGCCTTGTGCAACTTACAAACATGATGAGGAAGAGCAGAACTGATAAACCCAGGAGGCTGACATAAGTAAACTTCCTCCTCCAATTTTCCATGTAAGAAAGCATTGGAGATGTTGAGTTGTTTAATGGGCCAGTGATGATGTCAAAGAAAGAACTCTGATGGTGGGTTGCTTAGCAACAAGACTGAAAGTCTCTACAAAATCAATGCCCTCCTCTTGTAAGTAGCCCTTAGCAACTAGTCGAGCTTTATGGCAAGCAATAGACCCATCTGAATCCTTTTTGAGCCTGAAAATCCACTTACAACCAATAGCTGATTTACCAACATGAAGGGGCACAAGAGACCAGGTCCCTTTGCTTGAGTAAGGCCTGATACCCTTCAAGCATAGGTTTGGTCCATTAAGGAGTTTGAAGGGCTTCTCTGTAATTGGATGGCTCAATGAGAGCAGAGCAAGGGAAGAAGAAGCGGAAGAAATAGAGAACTTTTGAACTAAATGGTTGTGAAACAATTTAAATAGAATATGGCATGATAGAAATTTTCTAATATAGAACTTCTGAACTAAACTCCTAAAAGATAAATGGTACTTCAGAACAGAGAAGATCAAAATCACCCCGTGGCAACCTCATTCCAAATCTGCTCCATTTCAATTAGTGAGAAATCAAGTTGAACTATGCAGTAATAACTAAAATGCCTCTATCAGAGATCCAGGGAACATATTATTATTTTGTACGCATTAAGAATAATAGCAGTAGGAGGGCATAAAGAAAAGAAAACATGTTGATGAACCCATATCAGCAATTAGTAGCCCATAAGAATCAAACAGCAACCAGAACCTAAACAAGGAGGAAGAGGAGAGAGAAAGAGAGAGTGATTACCTTAGGTGAAGGGCAATAAAATGCTTGCTTCTCATCCTCATTCTATGGACCAATTGTTCACCCATTTCAATTATAGGATCAGTGAACTTCAAGGCATGATAGTTAACTCTGCATCTAAGCTTTTGTAATCTGTATCCAACCTACTTGAAAGTCTATAATCAAATTTGTTGAGCTGAACAGCCTTCATAAGAATGAAAACCACAAAGTATTAGTTTTATATTTTTTTCAAAACAGCACATGGAATGAAATCTCCAACTCACATATCAATTGATTTTTTTGTTTTTCTGTGAACTGCTCAAAAACTTATTTTTCTCCTTAGATTATCTACAAGTTTATAGCTTCACACATAGGAGACACTAGAAATCTAACCTTCCTAGGCTCGTGACCATTGTCAATAAGCTCCCAGCACTCTTTATCTAAACAGAGTACTTCCACATCTCCATTATCATATAGTACCTTTAACACAAAATTGATCAGAGAAAACTTCTTTTTTCGGTAAGTAAAGAAATTTTATATTAAAAAATATATATTACAGACAGGTTAAATGAGATGCTTCAAGAATCAAGCTACCTAGTCTATAAAGAAAGTAAAACTCTCACAACTCAAGAGAATAGGTATAAAAGAATTATCCTTACATCTCATGAAGATCCTCTTAGCCAATGAAATTATATGAGTTACAATTATAATTTGATTGATGAAAAGCATCTCCAAAGCATGACTAGCTATGAGTATTTAAAATTAAATTTTCTTTTAAAAAAGGACAGAATAGTACAGCTTACCACATGTTTCTTTTTTCGAGGATCATAAGACTTCACCACTCCATAGAATTTGTTGATTTCAACAAGAAGAACTATCAAGATAGTAGCACATTTATACAAGGTTTCTCACTAATGAGTTCTCCATTTTTTTTTCGTTGATAAATACCACTGAAGTCTCATTCTCATTGATTGTTATAACAAAATAATAGATGTCTGACTCTCATTGATTCAAAAGAAAGTCCCCATCTCACTTGGCCACTAAACCTTGTCATCTCTCCATCACACCCTCCCTCTCTCATACAATCTCTTTTCTTTCTCACTCCTCTCTGACTTTCTCACTGGTCTCTCAAGCTCTCTCTCTCTCTCTCTCCCCCTCTCTGTCACACCTCTCTAACTCTTGCTCTCTTCTCTCTGTCTCCCCCTCTCCCTACCCTCACTCTCTCATTGATGAGTTATATGAATTTAGATGTATTGTAAGGTTTGAGTTTTTGGTATAAATTTGTTTAAAAATCTCGTGAGCCATGTAAATTTTTTTATATAATTTTAGAGCTCTAAAAGCCTCTATCATAGACAGTAATAGCTAGTATTATATATCATAAAATTTTAATAGAATCTGCAAAGTTTAGAAATAGAATCGGATTCAAATCAATTGAGCCCAATTCATTTTCTCCCCCTTGTTTTATGTTCTGTAATGAACACTAAAGTGACAAAATATTAGAGTTCTCATATTGTCAACATTTTAAATCATGCATTAGGATTGGAGATGCTCTATCTAACAGGGCATTAAGTTCTTCAACCAATCAATTTCTAACCACAAACAAAACCTAGCATTTATATTCAATTTAAACTATAATTTATATACAAAACATTTTTCTTTAGATACAAAACCTAAGAAAAATTAATTCAATCTATTTCAATGCAAAAAATTTCTTAGACATCCTAGGTTTTGTGGATAAAACAAACAGATCACTCAGATATATTCAATCTCTTCATTATTTCTATTCAATGACGTCACAAACATATACGAAACATTAAAATTATCTCTCATCAATTGTATGAATCTGAAGCAGTAGAAGGGAAAAAATAGAGCATAAGCATCAACGAACTTAGGTGATCAATTCTAGCAGGAGAAAAAGCTCTCAGAAGACAATATAAAAGATTTGTCAAGTGATTTGCAATGGAATGCTATTCATATTACTTTTATCAAATCACTAGAGGAGATTCTTCTCTGGCTACTAGGTATTGTGACTGGTATTCTTGTGATCAGTTTGATAGGTATTTTCCTTCCAAGGTTCATATTCTAGATAGGGTTCTTCCTTGCAGTCAGGACAACCATCTACCCTGCATCTTTATCCAAGTATCAACCAATTCTAATGTATATTTCCCAAATATGTGCCAATATAAGTAGGGTCCACTTCAGAAACAGTTGGGTACAGTAATTCAAGTAAAAGCAGTGCCTCAAAATAATCATCTCAAGTACATGGCGACACCTCTATTTATTGCATCACTAATCTATACACCATACTGCACAAATCAAAAAACTTAGCTTGTGAAAACATTAAATATCTTATCCAGTGAAAGTAACATCCTATGATTCTCCCCAATAAAATAAACAAAAAATAATAATAGTAACAGAACCAAGACTATGTAATAACAACAAATTTTAAACAGATGAGATTAAAAACTAACAATCAAAGTGTGGAAGTCATCTAACCTTTTCTGGATTAGCTATGGACAAATTTTATTGCAACATTATTGAATACTAGATATCCAAAATTTATGTAGTAGTATACAACTAATTGAAGTATTAGCACATTCAGTAATCCAAGTAGTAGTCCCAAATTAGAAAGTAATCCATCATTATAATTATTGAAGTGACAAAAAAATCAAGCAATTCAAATAGCTTCTTGAACAAACAACAATGATTCATCCCACTAAAAACATCACCACTAATAGCACTAATGCATTAAAAAAATAAAAAAAATAAAATAAAAATACAACTCCAAGACCAAAACATCAAATCATTAATGGCGGGACCCACTGCCACCTAATTAGTGGGACCACTAATTAGTGCTCCCAAGCATTTTTCCTTGAACAAAATAGAAAAAAGAAAAAAAAACCATGTACTCAACAGATGTAACAGCCAAAAACGTAGAAGAAAACAGCAATTCAAATCCATCAACTCAAAGAACATGAAAAAAAATTATAAAAAATTACAAATAAATAAAATAAAATAAAAGGCAGGAAGAAGCAGACCCCAAATAAAGCCAATGAGTCCACAACTGCCTTTGATGGTTTTCCTTGTACTGAAACAAACCAGAAAAGTTAAAATTAGTATATGGAGAGAGGTATCTTCAATAGAAAACAAGAATGAATTCAGCAAAAACAACTGCTGAAGTCTAGAAAATACGTCAGTGTGTACAGCTAAACAACTTACCAAATATTATAGGCAAAATTATCAAACAAATGAGGGAAGCCATGCTCACCAACAGTGAGCATCCCATCGCATGAATCCAACGACCTATAGAATGCAAAAAAAAAAAAAAAAAAAAAAAAAAAAAAAAAAAAAAGAGATTAAATTTCATCAAAACATAACTCGTCAAACATAACTGGTCATCCAAAGACCTTTAATGTTTAGATCCAAACCCTAGAAGTAGATTCAGATCATAAAATAAGAAGAAACAAAGAGAGAGGAGATCCGAGAGAGAAAGGAGGAGAACGAAGAGATTACCAGATAAAGAAGTTGAGGGAGTTCATACAGTTGGAGGTCTATTCTTCAAACGACCATAGCGATTTATAGAGCGAGAAACAGAGCACAATCGAGAGAGATAGAGAGAGCAAAATCGAGACAGATTTGGAAAATTAGAGTGAAAGGGGATAGGGCAAGTTTTATACGGTTTGGAGATACGGCAAGCTCGAGAGCGAGCGCGAGACCGCGAGAGAGAGCGAGAGATAACCTGGTATTGCGGCAGTGGCGGTGGTGATTTGCGGCGGTGGCGGGCGCCAATAGGTTATACATTCCCACTAAAATTTTAGCACCTTTGGCGACAAATGTCAAATTTTGTCGGCAAAAATTTAAGTAATAACAACTAAATTATGTAGTAGACAAATCAACTCTAACGGCGTGTTAGTCACCAAAAGTAGAAATTTGGCGACTAATTTTTCTTTCGTCGGGAAAAATGAATGTACCACTACTAATTTTTCTTTAGTCGCCAAAACTTTATATTTGCCAACCAATTTTTTGATCGGCAAAGGGTAAAAATAAAATTTTGACTGCTATTTAGTCTACAAAAATTAGCATATCATGACTAAAACAGACTTTAGTAGCCTAAAAACTAGACTAACGCCGACTAATTTTTATTTTGGTTGCCTATTATGGCCTATTTAGCGACTAAAATTTTTTTTGGTTGCCAATAAATAATATACTCCAACTAAAAAAATTTAGTAGCTAAATCCTAAACAAACGCCGACTAATGCATTTTTTAATTGCCAAAAATTGCACTTTTGGCAACTAAATTCCTTTTAGTCGCCAAAATTTTAAATTGTTGTAGTGTACCCTGCTTGGTAGCTCGGCCATGGCGTTAACTGCCACTAGGAAGTAGCTAGGTCCAAAAATATGGGCATTTACTAATTTGATCGAACATCTTCAACCACCACTCCAACCTAAGTCGGCCTAATTTGGCTATTTAAATTAACCTCTCAAGAAACTAAAGTCATTTTAAGCTTCTTTGGTGGAAGATTTTGTTCAACCAAACACTATAATTTGGGTAAAATATTTTATGTTCAAACAAACTGAGTCCACATGTATAATGAAATTAAATTTGTGCATTTAGAAGCTGTCAATTAAATAGCCTATGTGGCATTGGTGTTTTTATAATTTTTCTTCAATAATAATTGTTCAAGTGCATGATAATGCTTTCTTATGAAAAACACATTAGTTATTTTGTGTTAAAAAGAAAAAGCGCTAGTAAGGTTGCTAAACAAGCTTACTTAAAAAGTAAATAAAAAAGTAACAAAAAGAAAAATTGGAAGGTGTTGCAAAGGATTACCGTCTCAGAGTGCTTACTTATTTGGCTAAACAATGAAGATGGGAATAGACTTTGAGATCGTGCTAGGCTTCATGAAGGCATACTCGAGGAAGTGGAGGCAGCTTGGGATATTCAAGTATAGAATCCATTAGCGCTAGCTCTTCCTCTAGAAAAAATAAAAAATATATAAAATCAATGCAAAGACGTATGACGTCACGCGATCATTGTATGTTGCTTTTTAAATCAATATGTAAATATGACAATTACTTGAAGTATTATAAAAATATATATATATAATTATATCTTAAAAGTGAAGTTCACAATTCATATATAGTTCACGAACCCTTGGAACTTAACAGGCAAGTAGGTTGTTGAACTTCTTGGTTGTGCCATGCTATGGAAAGGTTGTGTTGTGTCATGTGTGCTCACAAATCAATCACAACACAAATCTACTGTGCCCCAAGATTAGGCTCACCTTAGCAAATACTAGGCCCAAACCGAAACACAAAATGAGGCAGCCTAGCATATCGTAGCCCAATTTTCTTTTTACAATCAAAATATAATTAAAAATATTTTTATTATGTATTAATTAACACTTTTGTATACATCAATATAGAAGGATCGACAATTTAGTGATAATTAATAACTAAAACTAATGCAATAAAGATATTTTCATTTATATATAGATTGTAGAGATGTGTGTCTCTACTTGCCACCCCTAAGTTCATTCTCCTAAGCATTCAACTTTTTTATACAAAAAATCATACAAAAATGTGATGGTGGTAATATTCTAAAGAGTGTTATATACAGTAGTGGAGTCAGGAATTTAATATAGGGGAACACCTATTAATTATAATCTCAAAATTTTTCTTCCCCAATCAATAACAATAACATAATAATAATTTTTTGAGCTAATATTAAACATTAAAAATTAATATTCATTACAAAAAGTTTTTGATTTTAAACTTTTACAATTGACTCCGATGAGTTTTCATCTTTTAAAATCTTTCCATGATAGTATCATTGCCAATGTCATCAAAAATGTCTCTCTCAATATACACAACCAAGCTATCATTCATCCATTCATCACTCATTTGGTTCTGCAACCAATTCTTCACAATATTCATAGCTAAAAATACACTTTCAACAGTAGCAGTTGCAATTGGTAAAATTAATGCTAAAGTCAAGAGCAAATACACCAATGATTATACTTTGTCTCTTCCAGTCTCTACCATTTTCAGCAAGATCGGCAATTCCATTCAACATTGAGAACTCACTACTGGATAGCATGTCGATAATATATGTATCAAGTTGATCATTAAGTACCATGAGTTCCAATGAGGAAATATTCTTTGGGATAAAATTTTGCAAGATGAATTAACTTTTTTCTGTCAAAACTAGAGAAAGAGTTAGATGAATTCAAACATGCCACACAAAGTAACAACTTAGTGTTCGACTCAGTGAAACGAACATTTAGTTCTTGAATTTGCATATCCAAAACAATGTAGAATAACTTAGCACGATAGTGATGTAAGTTTGTAATTTCTTGAGCATTGTACCTTTTTCTCCCTTGAGCTACAAACATATCATCCATTTGGGGAACATCAATTTCATGCTTTTCACAAAAAGACAAAATATCATCAAGTAAAGATGTCCTTCCACTCTCCCTCATCTTTTGGAGCCGAACTTTATAAGTTTGAACTAAATTCATGGCATTAACAATATGTTGATCTTTCCTTTGTAATGCTTGCGATAACTCACTTGTAATGGCCAATATCGTTTTCATCAAATGAAGGTTGAATACAAACTCAAATGATTGAATTGAGTCCAACAATACATTTTGCTTCTGCTTGTTGTTCTAAATTTGAACCATCCTCCGAAATCATTTCAAGCATATCAATCACTGTTGAAAACATACTAGCCAAGCTGACTAAAGTACTATAATGTGAACCCCAACATGTATCACTAGCACGTTTAAGATTAGTTTATTGATTTAAACCTTGCCCACTAGATAGCTCTCTAGTATTAAGTGTCTCAGCAACTTTTGTAGCTTGCTTCTCCCTAACAATATCTCGGCGTTTACATGATACTCCAACAACATTCACCACATTAGAAACCAAAGTGAAATGTAAAGCAATTTGATTATGATTCTTTGCCATGGCTACAAGTGCAAATTTCAATTGATGAGCAAAACAATAAACATAATATGCACAAGGATTCTCTTTCAGTATAAGTGTTTGAAGACCATTAAACTCACCTTACATATTACTCGCCCCATTATATCCTTGACCCCGCAATCTAGAAATACTCAATCCAAGTCTGCAGAATAAATTTTCCACAGCTTGTTTGAGTAAGAGAGCATTTGTATTAGCAACATGCTCAATACCCAAAAAGCGCTCAAGCACTTAGCCTTTTTTGTCAACATATCGTATTACAATTACCATTTGCTCCTTGATTGATATGTCACGGGTTTCATCAATCAAAATAGAAAAAAGTGCATCACCTAGATCTCTAATAATCACATTGATAATTTTAAATGCGGCCACATTTACAATGTCTTTTTGAATATTAGGAGATGTCAACTTGAGATTTTGTGGAGCATTAGCATTGCTCAATGCAACCACTTTGACATCTTCATTATGATCAACAAGAAACTTGAGAAGTTCAAGAAAATTTCCTTGGTTACTTGAATTTTCAGATTCATCATGCCCACGAAACATAAGTCATTGTCTTAGAAGAAATTTGACACAATCAACCAATGCATTCAAACGGGTTCGATACTCAATTCAAGCTTGATTAAATTTTTTGAAAAAAATCGTTTGAATATGTTGGTTTTGGTTTAACAAGTCTTGACATTTACTCGAAACTTGATTATGAGCACTATTGGGGCCTTCAACATGAGTCTAAATTTTTTCTTTTTTCTTTTTTCTTCCAATTTGAGAAACCCTCACCAACAAAAGAATCACCACCAGCTTGATCTCCAATATCGGGTTTGAAAACATAACAACATAAACAAAATGCTGCATCTTTTGCTATGCTATACTGCAACCAATTAGGAAATTCACTAAACCAAGCCTGATTAAATAGCCGAAGTTTTTGTCCAAATGATTTTTGTGGAAAATTATGATCATGAGGTTGACAATAACCTTTTTATAGATATGCCCTACGAATTTGGTCTCGATCATTAGCATTATAGTCCATAATACAAGGCTTTAGTCTTGGATTTGCAGGTCTACTAAGTTGATTTCTATACGACTTTGTTTTGCAGAAGAATAATTATCATCTTCATGATTCCAAATTTGATTTTCTTTTGAAATATTTCTCCATGACTGTTTGAAAAAACTAAAATTCATAATCAAAATCACAAACTGCCACAAATCAAAATCTCAACTTCTAATACAAATAAAAAAATTTAAATTTAGCACAAATCACAACAAATCAAAATTTCTAATTTTAGCACAAATTATAACAAATCAAAATTCCTAATTTAAATATTAATCAGTGCAAATTAATATTTTTAATTTTAGCACAAATCAAATCCCTAATTTTAGCACAAACAACAACAAACCAAAATTCTTAATTTTAATATAAATTACCACCAGTTAAGATTCATAATTTTAGCATATCAAAATATCTTATTTTAGCATAAATAATAGAAAAATAAAAAAAATTTACAAATCAAAACTTAACAAATAATTATAAATTAATACTCATAATTTTTATTTAAAAGTAAAAAATAATAAATAAAGTTACTTGTAAATAATGAAGAGAAGATACCAAAGTTGTAGTATGATCCCAAATCTATGTTGTGTGATCCTAATTTAGTGAATCACGAGTTGGTAAATTGCAAAGTAACAAAGGGAGACAAAGAAAATACGAAGACACTTAACAAATACTATGAATAAATAAAAAAATAAAAAATTTCATATATTTTTAGGGTTTTAGCTTTGCTATAATTGTAGTTGTGTGCACTCACCCAAAAATAAGTTGTGTGTCAGCGTTTGGTTGAGATTGGGATTCAAAAAAAAAACATGAGTGTGTGTGGTGTGTCAATGTGTTTGGGTAAATTGGGAGGAATGTATATTATGTATAGGAGGGG